GTAACAAGAAAGGGTAATGTACAACTGCAAGTGAATGGAATCATACTGATAATCATAGGAGTGTTCTATGTGCCAGAGCTGAAGAACAATTTGTTGAGTATTGGGAAATTGCAAGCAAAGGGGCTTACCATTTTGTTTCAAAATGGAACGTGCAAAGTGTTTCATCCTAAGAGAGGCTTAATCATGGAGACAAAGATGTCTTCGAATCGAATGTTCGTACTGCATGCTATATCTCAGCTTGTAGCATCTACTTGTTTCAATACAATCACAGAAGATATTGAGCAACTTTGACATGTAGATATGGACATTTGGGCTTTAAGGGATTAAAGACTCTTCAGCAAAAGAAGATGGTGGATGGTTTACCACAACTCAAGTCTCCATTGAGACTGTGTAAAAATTGTCTGGTGGGTAAGCAACAAAAGCACTCGTTTCCAAAAAGGAGCACATGGCGAGCTTCAAAAATTCTCCAATTGGTGCATGCTGATATTTGTGGACCGATCAAACCCATTTCAAACAGCAAGAAAAGGTACTTGATTACTTTCACAGATGACTTTAATGGAAAAAACATGGGTTTATTTCTTTATAAAAAAATTAGAAGCCTTTGCTTAATTTAAAACCTTTAAGATTCATGTTGAGAAGGAAACAAACTCATTTATTAAAGCCTTACGAACTGATCGAGGAGAGTTTACATTACAAGAATTCACCAATTTTTGTGATGTAAATGGTATACAAAGACAACTGACAGCTGCATACACACCACAGCAGAACGGAGTTACGGAACGAAAAAATAGAACTATTATGAATATGGTTCGTAGTATGATTTCATAAAAGAAAATTCCGAAAAGTTTCTGGCTTGAAGCAGTCAACTGGACTGTGCATGTACTGAATCGAAGTCCAACATTGGCCGTAAAAAATAAAACTCCAGAAGAAGCTTGGAGTGGAGTCAAACCTTCAGTTGAGCATTTTAGAGTTTTTGGATGTATCTCTCATGTTCATGTGCGTGACAGTAAAAGAACTAAGTTGGATGATAAGAGTTCAAGTTGTGTTTTGCTGAGAGTTAGTGAAAAGTCGAAAGCTTTCAGACTCTATGATCCAACTTCGCAAAGGATCATAATAAGTAGGGATGTTGTATTCAAGGAAGATAAGAGTTTGGATTGGGATAAGACCTATGAAGAATCCATTATGTGTGATCTGGAATGGGGCGATCAAGAGGAGTGTAACGATACACCTTCCGAGAAGAGAGGAGAGAGAGAGAGAGAAAAAAAAAAAAAAGGCCGCCGAAAATCTCATGATTTTCGGTGGGATGCACTCAGGCTCTCGTAAACCCTAGGAGTGGCCGCCACCTTTAGGGAGAAGGGGGCGCTAGTGTGTTTCGAGGCAAGAGGAAGTAGATGCGCCACCGGAGAACGGACGAACGACAGCGCATCCACCGTCGATAGTAGCCAAGCTCTGCGATTAGGACCGTCTGGACCTTCGGACGAGGAAGATGCAGCGGCAGGCGTGGGTCGACCATCGGCATTCCGCGAGACGTCTCGGCCAACGTGCAGCCCGCCCTTCACAGGTCGCGTTCAGACACCACCCCGGGGCCTCGTTCCCTTTTTGGCCTAAACCGAAGGCGCGCCAGAAACCCTGTGCCGGCGGTGTTTGCCGCAGCCATCGGTTTCGGCTCCATCGGCAGCTTCGCGAACCTCCAGCTCGACTAAGTGCGACTTGGCGGCTCGACATCCGAATAGTATACCGATTCCTAGGTTTTCGACCCTTCTGGAGCTATTCCCACCCTTGTTTCAACCATCTGAGGTCAGTATAACCCCATTTTGACAAATAGCTTGCGATAGGGACATATCTTGGTAGCTAGGCACGAGGGATAGTTGTGAAAGCGCTCTAAGTGTATCATGTTATCTTATAGGAGGTAGTTGGGCGCTGGAGTTAGCATTGTGGGTGACTTTGCCAAGGCCAAGGAGGTAAGTAATCTTACTGTTGGCGTTAGTTATGTATGCATGTTGGTGCATGCCCTGTGGCCCTTGCATGCACCATATGTTGTTGCTGTATGCTAGGTTGGATGTTTCTTGCATTGAAATGCTATGCATGCTATGTTTATGTATGTGATTCTTGTAGTGAATTGCTATGTATGTCATGTTTATGAATATGATGTTGTCACACAGTGTGCTGCCCTGTATGTATGATGAGCTTGATTGACATGTTATGATTGTAATGAGAACCCCGCATGCCATGAATGAGATGACTAGTATGCTATGATATGCTTGCTCAATGTGGACCCGGTTATGCTACGTAATGCGGTGAGGGGATGGAACGTTGTATGTATAATGCCATGGAGGCAAACCTTAAAAACCTCATGCACGCTATGGTTATGTACCTGGGGCACTCCCCCGTTATGCTACTGATGGTACGGATGCGTATATTCGATATTGTGTTCGCCACGATATCATGCAAGCCCTCCTTTGTCCGTGGCGTCCGGTATTGTATGTCATACATACCTGACCAAGCCAGGCCTAAGGAGTTCGCTTGCGAGCTCGCCTGGTGGGCCCACAGTCACACATGTGGGCCATGTGTGGGAAATTACCATGCATCCACCCCCGCCTGGACAAAGCAAGGGCCTAAGGCCATGGAAAGGAATGGAAGACAGACCCCTCTCTCAACTTCGTGCTTCTAACACTGTGCGGCATGTATGGTTATTATGTGCGACATGTATGGTTATTACGACATGTATGGTGATTATGTGCGTTATGTATGGTTATTATGTGCTACAGGTATGGCTATTATGTGCGATATGTATGGGTATTCTGTACGACATGTATGTGTGTTGTGTGCGTCATGTATGTGTATCGTGTGCGACTGCTTGTATCTGGATGTATGAATATATGCTTAACCCCAACAGTGGGGCGACTTACTGGGTATCTTATATAATACTCAAGCCACGTGCTACCCATATTTTCAGGTAAGGGCAAGGCTCCCATGTATGGCTAACGATGGATGATGCGAAGGGCCATGAAAATCTTGAGAAGAGTCTGTAGTGTCGTATAGGCGCCTTGTTGGATTCTTTTGGGTTCATAGTTTTGCGATTGTTTCCTCTGGTTCTTTGTTGATTTCTTCTAAGCTAGGTTGTCGTAATTCTTTTCCTAGGTATGAACTGCTTATATTGATGAATGCATTATCGTTATTGAGACTCTCACGTAACTCTTGTCCTGTGATTAGACGAGTATAAGGTAACGTCACTAATTATGGTAGAGAAAATTAAGGGCGTTACAAAAAGGCAGCAGATGTGTGTGAAGAAAATGAAGAAGGGAGCGAATCTGATATAAAAGCTGCAGAGGAAAATATTTCCTTTGGCTCTTTGGTTGAAGCAAGCTATCCTAGCTCGAATAAGGGGAGGAATAGGAGACCACCAGTCTGGATGAGAGACTATGCAACAGGAGAAGATCTTTCTGAAAAAGATAATAAAGCTCACTTGGCCATGTCTACCACTATTGATCCTGAAAACTTTGAAGACACATTAAAGAGTGAGAAATGGAGGCAAGCCATGGATAAGGAAATAGAAGCAATAAACAGAAATGACACATGGGAATTAATGAAGTTACCCAAGGGCGAAAAGAAGGTTGGAGTAAAATGGATTTATAAGACGAAATTCAATAAAAATGGGGAAGTCAACAAATACAAGACTAGACTTGTTTTCCGTGTATTCTGTAACGCTATATAATAGTCAATTTCATTCTTCAATAAAAAGTGAGATTTCTCCCAATTCTTCTGATCTTTCCAATTTTCTCTCTGTTCTTAACAGAGACGTGATGTTGGTTCTCTACCACCTCTAGGCCTCGTGGTCTAAGTGAGTCGACCTCTTGATGTGTCAAGGCGTGGGCAAGCCTTGAAGTGTCTTGGGCATCTTCTTTCAAAAATGAGATTCCAAAGATAGTATTAGGTAGTATAGATGTGCCAACATTGCAACCCTCCCCAAAAGTCAAAGGTTGCGATATAAGGCTAGGCTTTAACACGATGAGCAAAAATGTCTCGACATGGACAAAGAAAAGTTCATCCTCAATAGCCAAATAGATGGATGTCCAACAGGTCTTGAATATGAAGATAACTCAAGAGTTAGTTCTCGAAAAGCATGTATGAGTGAGCAGCAAAGACACCTGACATTTGATGCTTGGGATGGTATCATGAAGCGTCAGTGAGACTCGGTAGTTCCCGGTTGGCAAGGTATTTGCTTGTTATGCCTTGATAAGCATTATGAATGCCCAATAAGTTTTGGTTTGCATAGTTGTGTTCCTAGTAAGTATTATAATTCCACGGTAGCCCCCAACAAGTGCTAATATCACTTACTTCATGAGCATTCTAACGTTGTTTTGATCCAATCAAGGTTCAAACATATCCTGGTGAAGGTGTGGATCATGTAGTTAAGGACTAAGATGATGAAATATGACAGGGTGTTCCATTGAAGGACCTTGGTTTAGAGTAGGCAAGTTAGCTAGAGTTGCAAAAGAACATAAGTGACATGATGACCAAGTAAGGTAGAGTTGAACATGAAGTGAAGTTTGGTAAAGAATGAAAGAACTTTGTCAAAGATCCAACTAAGCCACAAAGAAGAGTGAAAAAGGTATATTGGGACTTGAGTTCCCTTTAAGACTGACCATGATCATGTGTAAATCATATCATCCCATGGTTGAAAGAGCAACAACTTCATTTAAATCTTATAATTGAGCACCAACCTATTATTCATCGGGATATTAGTTTATATAAGAAGGAAATGACTTAAACATCCAAAAACATAAAAACTTATCATTAAAAGGGCGTTCCCATTAACATCATTTCCTACTTTTCCCAATCCCTAAGATAGTATAGCTCGTAGAGCTCCTCTCCCAAAAATAGTAAAGTTCGCACAGTTTGTAACGTCCAAAAAAAAAAAAAAAAAAAAAAAAAAAAAAAAAAAAAAAAAAAAAAAAAAAAAAAAAAAAAAAAAAAAAAAAAA